ATACTATTGTAATAATATTTTAACAATAACAATAACTAAAATATAGTTAAAAAGCTAATTGACAAAGTTTATTAAAATGAAGGAAAACATAAATGAATGTTAAGCTTTTTTTTCGCTTCGTTTTCTCTTTCTTTTTGTTTTATGCTAAAATGTTTATTTTTGACCTCTGATATGATTATTTGCTTCAAACAGCACTTTAATATTAACAATTAATAATTATTAATAAGATTTAAATCTTGAATTTTACATTGCGAATTATAATTTAAGCTAGATGACATATTAGTACGCAAATTCACAAATTATATCTACATAAATAGACTAATTCATGTATTAACCCACTAATTTATGTTCCTTATTTTCTTTAATTAATATAAATATAATGCTAAGTTCATTTTTAAAAGATTGCTGCAATTTCATAATTATAGAAATATTACAATGCATTTTGACACATTTTTATTTTTTCTTCAAATTTTTATTATTAACTTTTAAAATTATACATATTATAAATTTCATCAAGTTTTTTTTTCGTTTTATTATTTCGTGCTTTTTTTTTCGATATTTAGGTACTTTTTGCTTTGTTTGGAATACCGCTCGTACCATTTTTCTTGCTTATCTCTTCATTATCAATATCAGTTGTCTTTCCCTTCTGGGAAATACTTTCTTGATAGCTACTACCTGCTTCCATATCGCTTATACTTGGAGAAATTTCACTTTCTTTCGAAGAATTTTCTCTTTTTTTAAAATTGGTTCACTTTTTCCCGGTAAATTTGTTTTTTCTTTAGAAAAAGTTTTAATTTCTTCCGGTAAATTTGCTTTTTCTTTTGAAAAAGATTCAATTTTTTCCGGTAAATTTGCTTTTTCTTTAGAAAGAGATTCAATTTCTCGCGATAAATTTGCCTTTTCTTTTGAAAAAAGTTCGCTTTCTCGCGATAAATTTGCCCTTTCTTTTGAAAAAAGTTCACTTTCTCGCGATAAATTTGTTTTTTCTTTTGAAAAAGATTGACTTTTTCCTGACAAATTTTTCTTTTCCATTGCGAATACTTCACTTCTTCCTGAATGAGCTGTACTTTCTTCAGAAGAAATCCCTTCCATTGCTAAAACTTTACTTTCCTTTTCCCTTGAAATAGAACTTTCAACTGATCGACGATCTTGTCGATGCTTTTTATCAAGTTTTTTTCGGGATTTCTGAAAAACAAACAAGAAAAAAAATTCAGGGAATGCACACAAATGCGGTTTTTTAAAATAATTAGCTTATATCATTTCCACATACTTGTTTTAATTTAGTAGCTAATTAAACTTTTGACTAAATGATTAAAATTGCTTCTTTTTTTTTAATATTAAAATATGATTTTTTTTAAAGAAAAGTATTGCTTGCATTTTTTCGCCTACGTTTGCGCCTGGATGTCAACAATTTATTGATTTCATCTGCGACATATTCCAAAATAGCTTCACTAAGAATTGCTAATCTAAAAATTACTTTGTAATTATATCCGAAAATAAAAGCGTATATAATGAAAATATAGTAAAAATTTAGTTTTTTTAGCAGCATTAAATTTTTCATTCGAAAACATTCTTTTAGCTTTAGCATTTCTTTTTTTTCAATCAGTTTTTAATTTCCCATCAGTAATTATTTGTTTATTTTTAATCACCAATAAGATCAAATTTATTTCATTCTTATAATTTTATAAATATAAGTAAATCTTGAAAATTAATACATCAAAGTTTATAATTTTAAAATTATCAGTTTTACTTAAATAACAGTTCAACTGATAAAAATATAATAATAATAAATAATAGTAATAATAATAATAATAATGATAATTAATAATAATAATAATAATAATAATAATAATAATAATAATAATAATAATAATAATAATAATAAT